CTTAAGAAATCCAAAACCACTCTTAGTTCTTAAATCAACCAGCAGATCAGCAACTCAGTCTAGAAACTAAATTGATCGAGTAATTGAAAAGATATTAAATAACTGCCTTGCTCCAGTAATAATAAGAAAACTATCCAGAAGCACCCAATTGGAAGACAAAGCAAAGCTCGAATTTCATAATTTATCTTCTTCAAAGAATTCCACGTCGAAGTTTTTTCAACAAAAGAATAGCGAAAAAATGCGGGAAGTAAGAAGACTCACAACTGCGAGATAGTAAGCTTTATAAAGGGGGGCGAATAAACGATAATTATCATGCGCATATGAACGTGCTTCTGAATAAATAGTTTAAAGTCTTTTTAATTTATTGAAAAAAAAAGTTTCCTTTCTTTTCACTTCACTTTGAAATATCAAATTCAATTTACATTTTTTATAGTATAAAGTACCTACATATATAGGAGTAAAGCAAGTGTGAGTGAGATAGCTGTTACAATAATAAGCATAGTAAGATTTAATCTCACTAAAGAGTGTAAAATATTCAAAAGGAAAGAAGAAGAAATGATAAATGAGAAGAAGATTATTATAAATTTCAGAGTTTAGAGCTGGGTAGCTACTCGATGTTAATTTTTTTGATGTGTCTTGCTTGGGAGAGTTGTCTTTAAAAAGAAATTTATGCCTGATAATCTAGTGTGAATGCACCTTAATTTGTATGTAGTGTGAATGTACCTTAACCCAACCATCATAGTGTAAAGACACCTTAACATAGAAACTCTAGTGTGAAGACGTCTGAACCTAGAAATTCGAGTGTAAAGGTACCTTAAACTTGGAAACTATAGTGTGAAGACACCTGAACCTATGAAATTCGAGTGTAAAGGCACCTTAACCTAGAAACCTTAGTGCGAAAACATATGAACCTAGAAACTCTAATGTTAAGGCACCTTAACCACAATCCACAACACTTTCTACCTCATTCCCACTCTTTCAACTAAGAAAGTCTTTTTAAGATCCCCAAGAATGACAATGACGATGATTAAGATCTTGCTGCATGTTATAATAAGCTCTTCATCAGCTTAAAACTAAATGCAACACTAAGAAGGAACTGAATATCTATTTGAAGAGAATGAAAGGAGAGAGTCAAATTCCAATTTTCTTTCTAGTCTCATTAAAAAAGTCTCATATTCAGCAGATAGAATATGAATAATCTTCTCTATTGTGATGTGATAAAGAGGAAAATACACATAAACATATAACAATAATATTAAATATCACAATTTGTAGACACAGAGAGCATTAATTCTTTGGAATTTTTTATGTAAGACGAAATATGAGAGACGAAAAGATGAGCGGCGTTCCTGCAACAAAGAAAAGATTTTTTTAATTTTTGTACAAAAAAAGGATTAAAATTTTTATTCTTTTCTTTTGTTTGCACAACAATTCCCATCTTCATCCCATTTACATACATTTTTTTACGCTTGTACGAGCTGTACATACAAATGTAGTGCATGTCAGAATTATGAAAATAATTATAAAGTTGATGTTAAGTGATTAAAACGCAATTTAAATTAGCCTTAAGAAATAACGGTAATTCAAAATTTAAATTATGAACAAAATAATTTCAAACCTAAAATTACCGTTATTTTTTAAAACAATTTAAAACTCAATTAATAGTCTAATTAAAATAAGAAAACTCATTCAGACAATTTTATAATACTTTTCCCATCCACAACAATCTCAGCTAACGACAAGAGCACATAAAAATAATCCGAAGTATGAATGATACAACAAAAAAGCACGAAATGTTAATATTTGCATTGTGATTGATATGAATAATTGTTTATCACTAAAAAAATTTCATTTTCCCTCTTTTTAAGTTCCTTTAACTTTTCAAACTCGAGCTCTTATTGTTTGTTTGTTTGATGCTCTTCAAATTCAATTTACAACAAATAAAAAATTGTTATTTAAATTTTATTCTATGTTGATTTGGATTCTTTTTTGTGTTATTATTTGAAAGAATTTCTTTTGGGAAATGAAGTTTGGGTTTTTATGAATGAACGAGGTGAATGAAGTGCTAAGGGTTGATGACTTAAATGGAAGTTCTTTAAAGGTTTCAATTGTTCAGTTAAATTGAATATTGAAGATAGAAAAATAGTGCTTAAGGGGCTATTGAAGGGTATGAATAATTTTAAATTGCGTAAGATTTTATTTAAAGAACAAATATTGTCAATCAGAAGCAATACGCATGCATAATGGTTAGAAAATTCGAAAGAAATCCAATTGAATTGACAATTTAAAATTTGAGTATGTTCAGTAAAATTTTGGTTAATTTAATAATTTAGTTGATGATTGAGTGCGTTCAGTAATATTAAATGGTGTTCAACAATCATAAAGTGTGTTAAATGATCATAGGGTGTGTTTAGTGTTCATAGAGTGCGTTTAGTAATCGTTGAGTGCGTTTAGTACGTTTAGTATCAAAAATTAAAACAAAATCAAATTAAACACAAAAAATCCAATTTTCCCTCCAAACATCCGCCAGATCAGCAAAATTAAATCCAATAACATTCGAATTCCATTTAAAATCCCATAAATTACTGTCATGATATATTTTAATGCCAACAGTAAACATTGCATAAGCTACAATTGCATATTTGCACATAATTTTATTCAGGTACAAATCAATCATCCATTACAGCGAAATTATGTAAACTTCCACTCAATTTTTCACGCTACTGGCTTGCTGCTAAGCAACAGGAATGCAGAAAATCTTCAAAAGCTCATTAGACAATCATTTCCGATTTTTCATACACGATTCTCTCCAGTCTAAAAGTCATCATCACGTAATTGCATTTATTACATAAAACCATTAAGTTGAACTCACAAAATTATTATCTAAAATTCACATCTATCAGCAATGCATCATACACAAAACACGCTGTCAGTTTCAAATCCCTTACAATCATTTACATGACTTATTACTTATATGCTTATTGTTAATAATAATTTTTTTAAATTGAAAAGCGAAGCCAATTCATTATCGTGTATTTCTGAGTATTTTGTACTCATATCAGATTCAATGTCTGCTTTATTGCATCATTCATTCATATTCATACGTAGAGTTAAAGAGATTATTGTTAGGTGAAGCAGAATGGAAATTTTTCGAGGATTTAAACATTTTTTTTTCAATATGCAGAATTTTTCATTGATGAAGGAAATATGGAAAGTTTGGAAAGTTTGAGGTTAAATGGGACTAGACGCAGTATTCTATTGTAAAATTTTTGATAGAAAGCTTTACTTGGCTTCACTAGAGTTATCTTATGATAGTTGAATCTGAAATATTTTGCTTTTTTGAAAATGAAGGTTCGATTTCCACCTTCAAGCATTAGTACTCTTACACCATACTGTGCGTTGAAACATTCTCTGTGTCAAAAGTCTGTTCAGGAATGTTAAGCTTCAAAGTGCGTTCAGAAACATTTTCTGCGTCAAAAGTGCGTTCAGTAATGTTAAGCTTCAAAGTGCGTTCAGAAAAATTTTCTACCTCAAAAGGACGTTTAGTAATGTTAATCTTCAAAGGTCGTTCAGAAACCTTTTCTGCCTCAAAATTGCGTTCAGAAACATTTTCTGCCTCAAAAGGACGTTTAGTAATGTTAAGTTCAGAGTGCGTCCAGTAATATTAAGCTTCAAAGTGCGTTCAGAAACATTTTCTGCCTCAAAATTGCGTTCAGAAACATTTTCTGCCTCAAATGTACGTTCAAAATTTTTTGTGCTCAAATAATCATGCTCCAATATCAATTCTAAGATTCATATATATCAATGCTTCCAAATAATTCAAAATTGACCTAGATTGTTCCATATACCCTCAGTCAGAAACTCAATACAATATTCTGAGAAAATTTTAATCAACAACCTTAGCAGCTTAACAACCAATATACTTCAGTTCCTAATTTCCTAGAAATATTCAGTTAAACATAGTTCAATATGTAGCTTACATCAATTCACCCAAACTGAATGCCATTGAAAATTCTCTAGAAATTCTGCATCAAATCACATCATCATCATCGTTGCCATAGCTTATCAGCATGATGTTTGTTGTCGTTTCATAACAATCAAAAAGTAAAAAAAAAATATTCTCAATTGAAGGTATTGAGGAATAATTCACATGTATCCAATTATTTGAATGATTTATGTCATGTGGAAATTTTAACTCCATCTCTCATGAGTGTTATTGACATGTCATCATGTTTCCAAAAAATAAATAAAATTTACAACCTTTTAAAAAATGCCTTTTTTAATGGCAATATTGATAAGATCGACTTTAAATACGATTTTACAGCATGTTGTGATGATAATTATTTCCATTAATTATTCAACTCCGAAAATGAGTTTTATGATTTATTTGTGCAATTAATGCTGTCAATCGATAAATTTATCATTATCATGTATCCACTTTAGATTATTATAAACAAATATATTCGTATAGCGTGTGCATACATAATGAAAATATATATCCAGAGTATAAAAATGTTAATTACTGTATATATTTCATATTTTTTTTTTGTACTCGTAATTACAGCAGAAATAAATATTCGGAAGAAGTGATTAATTTCTGTATTATGAACGTCTCAGAGACGTGTGTAAATTTTTCTCCGTTATCGCTGCAAGAATTTAAGATTTTTTTTTCAACCCATAAAATACTCACAGAAAAAAAATATTATTTAGAATTGTATTTTAGTAATTACACACATTAGACTCGCAATGTCGCATTTTACTCATGCTAATTCCTCATAATTTTTACTTCTCACTTCTGTGGCTGGCAAAAATTATTTTGAGGCATGAAAATTTCAAAACGAGGTAGAATGGAATGGCCAGTGATTATGTGTGATTAAGGCGCTATTTTTTGGAATATTATGACCTCAATTGTTTTTGATTTGAAGTTTTTGGAGTGTTAGTCGAGTTGTGGTTAAATGATTTGGGAATTTGGGACATGGATTTGATGAATTACAGCTAACTTAATGTGCAACATTAATTTGTTCAGAAATTTCTATCATAAATTTGAAAATCTGCTTAAATAGTACGTTCAAAACAAAAATGTCTTCATCAAGAGTGCATTCAGTAACATTTTCTGCCTCTAGAGTGCGTTCAGTAAAATTTTCTTCTTCAAAAATATATTCAGTAATATTTTCTGCCTCGAGAGTGCGCTCAGTAATATTTTCTGCCTCAAAAGTGCATTCAGAAATATTTTCTGCATCAAGAGTGCGTTCAGTATTATTTTCTGCCTTGAGAGTGCGTTCAGTAATATTATCTGCATCAAAAATACGTCCAGTAATATTTTCTGCCTCAAGAGTGTGATCGGCAATATTATCTGCCTCAAGAGTGTGTTCAGTAATATTTTGTGCCTCAAAAGTGCGTCCAGCAATATTATCTGCATCAAAAGTGCGTTCAATGAAACATATTTCAACAAAACATCTCCAAGAAATGCGTAGAAATAACGCAAATCTTCCCATTACCATATCTCCAAAACAAGGATATCCATTTTAAGTATCATAACAAAAACACAGTAACAATATTTACATACCACTCCAGCAGTATCTTGATAAACTCTAATTTAACAACACCCATCCCCAAAACAAATCCACTCAACAAACCCCTCAAATTTAGCTTACAACAATAATTTCTTTATCGCAAAAAAAAATCACAAAATTTTTTCTTCATCCAAATTAAAGTCAACATGAAAATCACTTTAAATGCCGCGCGTTAGGAATGAAAAAATTTAGCCTTTGGTGAACATAATGTGAATGATGTAGGATAAAAAAAATGTTCATACTCGCCAGTCAAATGGAAAATCAAAGGAAAAATCGAGTAGCACAATGTTCATGGCAAAAATTTTCCGCTTGCAAATGAATTAATATTGCAGCTGCTGGTGAGTGCAGCATGTAGGCACACACATAAAGTATCGATTTTTTTTCAACCGCTATGAACTATTGCAAAATGACGAAAAATAAAACGTGCAAGATTAAAGAAAAATGAACATGAGTATAATATAAATATTGAGCATTGTAATATTTGTAGTGCTTCATATGATTAAATCGCGTCTTTCGTAGCCACCGAGCAAGTGCCTTAAAGCACCACAATTCAATGACTTTGCCAAATGATGTTTGAAGTTTGTTTTAAGTATTTTTGTTCGTATTTTTATCGATTATTTTTCTTTATTGTACATTCAACAGCGCCTTATCGATTGCTCAATCAACATGTTCACTTGTTTCATCTCGCTCGCCTTTTTTTGATTGTTGAGCTTGTTTTCTTCATCAGTGCGTTTTTGGAATTGATTTGAGTGGGTTGGAGGTTTAAATTTGGGATTTGTTGAATTATGATTTATAGATTAAGTTGGATAGTGGAGCACTGGTCTAAGACTTGGTGTTAAAATCCCAATCATATTAGCGGCTCTTGGTTCGAATCCTACAAAAGTAATATTAAATTTAAGCTATTTAAAGAAAAGGTGTGTTCAATTTTTTTTTTGAAAAATTCAAAACTATAACCTCAATAAATCGCAAATAACCTCAAAAAACCCAAAAAAACATTATTCATGTCCATATTCTCCTTAATTTCATCACCGCTACATGAAATAACACAACTTCTTGCCAAATAAACACATAAAAACTTGCAAAATTAATAACAAATAAATGTTAATTGTCAGTTAAATAATCCGTAGATACAATCAAGTTTAACAGTAAGAAGAAGCTCAAGTATTTGAGAAAGGCACACAATTGTTCATTCAATATTCAAATAAAACACATCATTTGATCATTTAGTGATAATAACCAGTAACAATAATGACCATTCATTGTGAAATATCTTTCTTTTTTATAAATTAATTAACTTTTGATTTATTGAAAGATAAATGAATATGAAAGAAATTAGAGAGGCTCTTTTTTGGATATATAAATGGGAATAGTGCTTTATTGTTTGTTTAGGAGGCGAATATTGAAAATATAAATTGTATTGTTTGGTAAATTATCTTGTTGAATTGATATTAGTTTGATTGTTAGAGGTGTTTTTGGGAGGATTGTTAGGTTTTGAGACTCTAATGATGAGGAATTTGACCTTTTTGACTTTGAACTTAATTAATTGACGATTTAGAAATCTTTTAAATTGAAAAATTATTCAAAAAATGTTGAAAATTAATTTTCCCGCCAAAAATTTTGACACTCTCTCCCAAAATACCTTTGAAGTTGCTAAGCTTCTTATATCTAGGCTACAAACTCCAAAGAACCATGGTTTCGATTTCTAAATATTCAATAATAATTAAAATCCTACAAAACCATCACAAATAATTCAAAAAACAATCTCATTATCATTATATCCTCCACCTGCACCAAAAAACTTCATAAACACGATTAATTTTTAATTGGTATAAATTTCACTTCTACTTAAAACATTTATGAACAAAAAAAAACCTTCATTTTTGATGTCAAATTAAAAACTGTTCAACTTGACAAATCCAATTAAAATCACAACAGAAAATGTTTTTTTAAACATCTAAAAAATACAACATAAGAGTTGGCGTTTTGTAGTTGCTGTACATATAATCTACACACAAAAAAGTTGTTAAAAACCTTTGATTTACTGAAAGTGAGACACTATTAATCATTAGCTGATGAAGGCCGATGACTTTGGTGGTTCAAAGAGATGAAAGGAAATTAATTAAGAAATAAGATGCAGAGTTGAGTTGGGATGAGGAGTTTGAGGTGATTGGTTGGTAGTAAGATGTTATTATTGAGATGAGAAGGGTCAGTAGAGCAGTTGTTGATTTAAAATTTCTTGGCAAAGCTTTCTCTCCTTAGTTCGAGTCTCATTTAATTAACTTACCATTTTTCGTCATCTAGGCAGTGAAAATGAGGACAAAATCCTCAATTCCTGTCATCAAAATTGGAACTAAACACCAGTAAAGTTCAAAAATCATAGAAAAACTTTCAATTGACATCAAATCAATCCTCAATAGCGCACAACTCTGTCTCAAACAAAAAGAAACTTAAATATTATTTTTCTCACAAAGAAATTTTAATTAGTAGGAAGCTGAAGTTAAGTTGAATGGGAACACTGATGGAGATTTTGGAATTAAAAATTGAAAAATGCCTTTTATGTGATTGTGGCTTTATTTTGTGGATATAAAATTACATTTGGTTAAATCTGGTTAAGTTTTAATGAACATAAGTTTTTGCGGATATTAAAATGGCTTTTCGGTGATTTTTTTGGTGACTGTTGGTTTTGAGAGCTGAATGGCTAGTTTTTGATCAATCTAAGTTTTAAAGTTTCAGTAAAAGTTTGCAGAGCATAACAGAAGTTTCATAAGCCTCCAAATGGATGCAAAGAAACTGTCTTTATCATTTTGTCTCGCTCGTGATTGTAAATTTCATCTAAAATGTCAAAAGCTAATCTTAAAACCAGATTTTAGGCTATAGATTCCTAATTAGATTCTTGAAGATTCTCAGCATCCAAAGCTAGTTATATCCAATAATTTCCCTTCTAAAACTACCGTTTCTCGTAAATATTCTATTTATTAACCTGACTCATCTCATCCCAAAAAATTTCCATATCCTATTAGATCTACCTAATCTAAAATATCCAATAAATTTCATCAAAATGCTCAGTTACTAATTTATTTTAGGTAAATTTTATCGATTTCTAATGACTAACATGTCAAAACGATTAAAAAATCAATAAAAAGTCGCATAAAAAGCTTCCGACAAAGGAATTAAAAATATTTAATTTGCAAAATGTCCAAAAAATTTGATTAAAATTTACAACCATATCACATCTATTCCCATATTCATTAATGAATTTATAATGATGAAATTTTTTGAATAAACATTGAGGAGGAACGAAATTAGCAATTCAAGATTCTACAAATTCATTAACAAAAAAAAAATAGACGTTCAATATTGTAAAATTAGAAAATTCGGTTGAAATGTTTATGTTTAAATATTTTGTATATTTTGTCTATAAATTTGTATATAAACACTGTGCCGACAATCGATGAATGAGGCAAAAAAAAATTTTAGACAGAAAATCGAATGAATTGAGTATTTTTTTGTTCCATTCCATTCCATGCTGTGATAACAGTTTTTTGAACTCACGTGGTACATAACAACATAAACTTCAATCAATGTTGGACAAAGTCATTATTTTGAGGAACAAGAAAATTTAAAAATCATAAAATTCACAGTTCTTCATGGATGTCTTGTGAATTAGAAATTCTCTCTTTTTTATGTAGACATTTAAATAATTTTTTTTTGATTCGATTTTTATGAATGAGAATTAAATGGAAATTGCCGATTATTGTCGAATGATAAATGGATGAATTTGACATGGTTGTAAAATCTGAAATATCTACATTAAATGATAATGTTTTATGGATCTTGTTTGATTTTGAATAGGATTTTGCTGTAATGTTTTTAAATTTCGAAAGTGAAATTTTCGAACTTCGAAAGCTAAATATTTGAATTTCGAAAGTTAAATATTTGAATTTCGAAAGTAAAATATTTGAATTTCGAAAGTGAAATATTCAAATTTCGAAAGTTAAATGTTCGAATTTCGAAAGTTAAATATTTGAATTTCGAAAGTGAAATATTCAAATTTCGAAAGTTAAATATTTGAATTTCGAAATTTAAATATTTGAATTACGAAAGTTAAATATTTGAATTTTGAAAGTTAAATATTTGAATTTAGAAGGTAAAATATTCGAAAGTGAAATTTTCTATTTTCGAAAGTGAAATATACTATTTTCGAAAGTGAAATTTACTAATTTCAAAAGTAAATTATTTTAATTTCGAAAGTGAAATATTCTAATTTCGAAAGTGAAATATTCTAATTTCGAAAGTAAAATTAATAAAATTATGAAAGTTAAATTTATTATAATGATTCACGTTTATCACGAGAATCACTTCCATAACCTACAATACTCATTCCACAAAACCAAAATTATATCACTGAATAAAGATTTCCTCAACAATGAATAATGCTATTAAAACAAAAAAGAATCTCGATTCTTCATCACTTCCACATTCTAGTCAAACTTGAAGAATAAATTCTTTCCATCAAACTTTTATATTTGTACAAAAAATTACACAAAAAAAACAGAGAGTAAAAAAGTATGAATGAGTAATTTACTAAACTGGAATTGCTCTAGAATGCGAAAGAAAAATATTTAAAAAGAAAACTTTTAATAGGAAAACATAAATCTAGAAGCAGCAGCAAAAGTTGAAGTAAAGAAATTCTTTCCTGCTTAAAAAATCACTTCACATCATTTTCATGAGCGCGGGGTGATTCATGAAGTGAGTGAGAAGAAAAAAAAAGTTTACATTAATATGCTGCTGGCTAAAGTTGTGTATACCGACTGAGTTGACTGACTGACTGCAGTGAGACTGCTTGTGAAGTGTGAGAGAATGAATTATACAAACAAACCAATATTTAATGTTTTGAGAATAAACACGGAAAGCGCCAGCAATTAATG